GTGTTAGACATACATATTATTTATGTAAGTTTTTAATTTTTATTACACATATATCTTTTTATTATTTTAAGAATATTCTATAAAGCGTCAGACATACAGATTTATGTAATTTTTAATTTTTATTACACATATATCTTTTTATTATTTTAAGAATATTTTAGAATGTGTCAAACATACAAATTTCTGTAAGTTTTTAATTTTTATTATTTTATTATTTTAAAAATATTCTTGAATGTGTCCGACATACAGATTTCTGTAAGTTTTTAATTTTTATTACACATATTTTTTTTATTATTTTAAAAATATTCTAAAATGTGTCAGACATACAGGTTTCTGTAAATTTTTAATTTTTATTACATATTTATCTTTTTATTATTTTAAGAATATTCTAAAATGTATCAGACATACAGATTTATGTAAGTTTTTAATTTTTATTACACATATTTTTTTTATTTTAAGAATATTATAGAATGTGTCAGACATACAGATTTCTCTAAGTTTTTAATTTTTATTACACATATATTTTTTATTATTTTAAAAATATTCTAAAATGTGTTAGACACGCATATTTATATTTATGTAAGTTTTAAATTTTTATTACACATATATCTTTTTATTATTTTAATAATATTTTAGAATGTGTCAGACATACAGATTTCTATAATTTTTAATTTTTATTACACATATATCTTTTTATTATTTTAAGAATATTCTAGAATGTGTCAGACATACAGATTTCTGTAAGTTTTTAATTTTTATTACATATTTATCTTTTTATTATTTTAAGAATATTCTAAAATGTATCAGACATACAGATTTATGTAAGTTTTTAATTTTTATTACACATATTTTTTTTTATTTTAAGAATATTATAGAATGTGTCAGACATACAGATTTCTCTAAGTTTTTAATTTTTATTACACATATATTTTTTATTATTTTAAGAATATTCTAAAATGTGTTAGACTCGCATATTTCTGTAAGTTTTAAATTTTTATTACACATATATCTTTTTATTATTTTAATAATATTTTAGAATGTGTCAGACATACAGATTTCTATAATTTTTAATTTTTATTACACATACATCTTTTTATTATTTTAAGAATATTCTAGAATGTGTCAGACGTACAGATTTCTGTAAGTTTTTAATTTTTATTACATATTTTTTTTATTATTTTAAGAATATATCTTCTCATCAAATTCTTAATCAAAATTAACTTTAATTTCTTATTTGGAAATATTTTGGTTTTTTATTTTCATCAATTGTTTTGCAATATTTTCTTGATAAAATTCCATTCTGTTTTTAGAAAAATTTTGAATTTTATTTTGAAATTAATTTAAGCAAAATATTAAATTTTCGAATTTTTCCTGTGTTTCGATGGAGTGTTCGTTCTTTTGTAATGTCTTCTGTGCACTTCATATATGTGTCAACTTGTATGCACAATTAATTGCCTTCAGAAAGCTTTTCCGTGTTGAATTATTGAGATATTTTATTTATCAATGGATCTGAATTACATTGGTGTGAATTTTCATTATTGCTTGTCGATTTGTCGTAACCGACTTTCACTTCGTTTGCATTAATCAAACTCATTGCTGCTTTATTTGTGCGACTCATTTTCTTGAAAGAAAGTAATATGTGAATTGGAAACCAAATTGAGATGCATGAATTGACATATTTGGAATGAATGTTGCCCGAGATTCAATTCATTGTTGAATTATTCTGTCTTTAATGTCTGATCTTGACCCGCTTATTGGGATAGAAATGGAAATAAAATATATGTGAGTTTCTTGTGTGCAGTTATGTGTAGAGCTGACAAAAACTGACCCGATACGATTCGACATGAAATAATTGGGTTTGAGTCAAAATATTTCAACTCGATTATGTATACAGGTTGACACGAACCCGACACGATAGTAAACGGGTCAGGTTAGGGTTGAGGCTCTCAACTCGAACCCGACATGACAACCCGATTATAATATATTGATATTGATTAATATATTTATTATATATGTAAAATAATCATAATTTAATAATTTTTTCATAAATTAATTTAAACTAAGTTTAATTTTAAATAATTCAACATAATTTACGCTCAAACCAATAAAAACTAACATAACACGACAACATAACAAAAAATTATTTAATTTGAATCAAGATATTTGAGTTAATTATGTATACGGATCAACACGAGTCAATACGAACCCGACACGATAATAAACGGATTAACATAAACCCGATACGAAAATAAACGAGCCGGGTTAAAATTGAATAATTTAACCCATTTAAAGTATTTAACCCGACACGAATAATTTAACCTATTTAAAATATTTAACCCGACATGAATCCGACACGAATCGACTAATTGTGAGCTCTAAATATTATTGTGAGCTCTAAATATTATTGTTACTAGACAAAGAATTAATGTTATTGCATTAATAATTGTGATAGCAATCATGTTTATTTGTTATTATTAATATTTAATACTTAATGGAATGAAATCAGTAGGCATTAATTTATTTTTGATGGTTACGTCAATATAGTGTACTGGTTACATAATTGTAAATTACATACACACTTTTTATCGGTAGCATATTTGTGATTGTTTGTTTCCGCCGAAATCATTACTATATATATTGGAGTTATACATATATATATATATATTTTACACCAATTGTCTCCAAATATATGCAAATTTAATTTTCAGAAATTATTTTGTTCCCGAAATTATATTCAAAAAATTTATAGAAATATCACAGCTGCTGCAATTTTTATATGTGTTGCACATAGTGTGTCTATGTCTCTCTTATTGAATTATTTGATTCAATTATGTGATTTAATAAAATAGATATATCTCTATAATCATGACAATCGGCATTGATTTATTTATCTATGTAGCTATTATAATTTTTAATTATTTATGGAAGCTGAATTTTGCTTCGGATGTCATGAATTTAGATATGCATTTGACTGATTATTTATTTATTTACTGTTGATTTTTATGAATAATCAGAACTATGGATTTATTCTGATATGTTTTATGATGCAATTAAGTTTGTGAATCAGCATGTATTTTTGATCATAAGCATTTGTGCAAATTCGACTATAAATATTCATTATATCAAATTTATAATCTCTTTGGGTGACATATTTTTTGCCTGTGCAATTCCGCTACATTTAGTCTTTCTTGAATTACTTGATTATTTAAATAAGTCCATAAATTAATTGATGTTGTTATAGCTTTCATATATATTGGACATACATAGTTTATTTTAAAGTATTTAATTAGTAATAAATAATATAATATAATTTATGAATTGGTTGAAACAGTGATGTTGCCAAAGCAGCCTCTGTTGTATAGATCGATTTATTTTATATGTTAGAAGGTTGTTTATTTATAAGGCTGCTGATTGACCCAAAGACAAGTAAGCAATTAAGTAGTTACATGCATGTTTAATGACATTGAATGAAGTGATGATAATTTGGTTATTTGTGTGTGAACAAGATATTTGTCCAAAGATAGAGTATTGTTCGACACACTACTTTATTGTCAACTTTCGCTTGTTAAAACAAATTTATCATTAGCGAGTCAGTAATTTGTCCAAAGACAATTGTTGATGTTGCACGATAACTTGTAATAAGATTGCTAATTTATTTTATAAATTCACATACGGAGCACTCAATAACTTATAGACACGTGTACTTCAGATTGCATATTTATGATCTTTGTTATTTATTTTAAATTTTATTTAATTAGGGGAATAGCCACAATATTCTCGATTAATTAAACATTTGTTCATGATTTATTTGAAATCACATTAATAGACATCAATTGGAATTATCATATACAATGTGATGAGATCTACCCACAGGAGTCTTGTTATATTTATATGAATAATTAAGATAAAATATCAAATTGTATTTCTTAATCTTCCAACAGGAGTTAAGAAAAGGAACACAATTTGATAGTTTTATTGTTATGTTTTGTTTGAATCTAACTGAGTAAAACTTTAGCTCACAGACAAGTCTTATATCTTTATATTCATGTCTTAGCATGTTTACATTGGTAGAACATGTAATTTATTTGTCTCGTTTATTGATGAGCATGTATATTTAATTTTGTAGCATTTAATCATATGAATTTATCTGACATTAAGTGTGATATTCCCGAATTGACTGGTGATAATTACAAAATCTGGAAGGAGAGGATCCTCTTTCATTTAGGTTGGATGGACATTGATTATGCTATTTGGAAAGACGAGCCGCCGGGTATTACTGAAACCAGCGAGCCAGATAATGTGGATCTTTATGAGCGATAGGAGAGAACTAACCGTCTTTCTATGATGCTCATAAAGACCAAGATCTCTGCTGGTATCCGTGCATCTTTCGATCAACATAATAATGTTAAAGAGCTTTTGAAGGCTATTGACGAACAATTTATCAAGTCTGACAAGGCTTTTGCCAGTACATTGATCATTCAGTTCTCCTCTATGAGATTCACGGGTGTGATGGGTGTGCGCGAGCACATAATGCTCATGCGGGACATTGCGGCGCAGTTGAGAAGCTTACAGGTGACCATGTCTGAGTAATTTCTTGTCCATTATATTTTGTGCACTTTACCTCATCAATACGGTCCATTTAAGATATCCTACAACACACATAAAGATAAATGATCAATCAATGAATTGATGACCATATGTCTTCAAGAGGAAAAGAGACTATTGATGGAGGAAAGTGAGAAAATTTAGTCTGTAAGTTTAATAAATCCATATATGGATTGAAGCAAGCCTCCCGCCAATGGTATTTGAAATTTCATGACGTTATCTCTTCATTCGGCTTTGAAGAAAACGTCATGGATCACTGTATATACCAGAAGGTTAGTGGGAGTCGTATTTGCTTCCTTGTGTTGTACGTGGATGATATTTTGCTTGCAACTAATGATAAAGGGATGTTATATGAGGTGAAACAATTTCTCTCAAACTAATTTGATATAAAAGATATGGGAGAGACATCTTATGTCATTGGCATTAAAATCCATAAAGATAGAAATCGAGGCATTCTGGGTTTGTCTCAAGAAGCCTATATCAAGAAAGTTCTAGAAAGATTTAATATGAAAGATTGTTCACCGAGTGTAGCTCCCATTGTGAAGGGTGACAGACTCGATTTGAGTCAGTGTTCGAAAAATAACTTTGAAAAGGAACACATGAGGGATATCCCTTATGCTTCAGCAGTCGGAAGTCTTATGTATGCTCAAGTTTGCACTAGGCCTGACATAGCATATGTTGTTGGAATATTAGGGAGATATCAGAGTAATCCAGGTGTTGACCACTGGAAAGTTGCAAAGAAAGTAATGAGGTACGTTCAAGGTATGAAGGATTTCATGCTCATGTATAGACAAACTGATGTCTTGGAAGTGCTTGGCTACTCTGATTCGGACTACGCTGGCTGCATTGACACTCGGGAATCCACATCGGGTTATTTGTTCATGTTGGCTGGTGGAGCTATCTCTTAGAGAAGTGCAAAGCAGTCTATCACTGCTACTTCCACTATGGAGGCTGAGTTTGTTTCATGTTTCGAGGCTAGCTCGCATGGTGTATGGTTGAAGAGTTTTATATCCGAGCTTAGAGTCGTTGACTCTATTTCTAGACTGATCAAGTTGTACTGTGACAACTCTGCTGCGGTGTTTATGGCTAAAAACAATAAGAGTGAAAGTTGAAGTAAACACATCGACATCAAGTATTTAGCCTTAAGAGAACGTGTCAAGGAAAATAAAGTGGTCATTGAACACGTTAGTACATAGTTGATGCTTGCTGATCCCTTGACTAAAGGCATGCCACTAAAGAATTTCAGGGATTACGTAGCAAGTATGTGACTTGATTATACAATGTAGTTTATTTGTGCACATTGTTATTTGAAACTCTTATTCAGTTTGATGTTTTCTCGCGTTATTGTGCACATATTTGTTTATTTTTGAGAAAACTCACTTAAGTTTAACCCAGAATAAATATAAGATTTATTCATTAAGTTGTGAATTTAGTTTGAAATGCTTGACATATCGTGATGCATGGAAGGTAACATTCGTTTATAGAGACCTACCGCCATGATTCGTATGTAAAGTTTCTCGTTATGTTGTGATGGTTTGAGTGGGCCAAGTGGGAGAATGTTAGTTTAATTAATTAATTAATCGTATTTGAATTTTGATTATTTTTCGATTATCTTATATAATTAAACTAACCTTAAATTGTGACCCACTTTTCTCTCATTAAGTCCATCACATTCAAAATATAAGTGAGAAGAGGCAGAAAAATCGTGATGGACGGTTTTTCTTTTAATTATAAATACTTTCACATAAGGGTTACTAAACATACTCTCAGAAATTCAGAATACACCGTCACTATTTGGGAGCAAGGATGGCAACATCATAGGTTCCAAGGTCTGGCAAAATCTTCCTAAGGGTTCCAGAGTTTGACAACACCATATTCCCACGGTTCCAACCTACTGTTTTTTTAAAGAAGATCTAAAGAACATATTTAATTTTTAGCAATGGCTGGAGGTTTGTTTAAATTTCGTTATTCGCTTCCGCTAACAATTCGAAAATTATTTCTAACATTGCATTTATTCAATTTGATAATCTTTTGTTTTGTGTCTTTGTTTGAAAGAATATTTTATTTTATTTTATTTTATATATATTAAGAAATGTGTAGATAATATAAAAATAATAAGAATATATAGTATATTAATTTATTTTTAGGAAAATGTGTTGAAAATTTTTGGATAAAAGAACAATTAAGGGTGTGTTTATTTTGTGGATAATTTGAACGGATATTTTTTACGTAAGGTATATGAAATTGTGTATAAAATATAAAAATAAATGAATATGTATATATTATTTTTTTTAAGAAAACCTGTCAGATAAAATTTTACATAGATATTTTTTTATACAAATTTTCTAAAATTTTACTATTAATGTTCTGCGTTTTTTGAAAAAAATACACTTTTATTATCTTACAAAACATCTTATCAAATATTATTTTAATATTAAACACAAACCAAATTTTCTCAAACTCAACCAAAAGAAACACACAATTTTTTAAGAAAGAAGATTGTATTTTCTAAAATACAAAATACAAAATGTAAAATTTTGAAAAAGATATCAAAGAAACACAGTATATATTATATAATACTCCCTCCGTCTATTAAAATTAGCTCATTTGGGCTCGACACGGGAATTAAGAAAAATGAATATTTTATTGAAAAAGTGATAGATAGTTGAGAGTATTTTTGAAAATTTAGTTAAAAAGTAAAGTAAATGAAGAGAGAAAATTTAATAAAGTTATTGGTATTTGTTGTAAATAAGTGTTGAATGAAAGGTAATAATTAAATGTTGATTTGTTAATTTTACCACGTTAATAAATTTGGCAGACGGAAAAATTAAAAAATTATGAAATTAAAATATAAATATATAAAACATATATTATAGGATTAATAATTATTTATTTTTATATTATTTAAAAGATCATTTTATTTTTAAAAAATATAATAGTAATACTCTCTTCGTCCCGAAACAAGGGTGACGTTTGCTTTTTGCACGCATATTTTTGAATATTAGTATTATAATGGATTGTAGTGAAAATGACGAAAATATCCATATTAGTATTGTGTAATATAAAAGTAATGATATTTGTGTAATATAGTGTAAGTTTTGAAATGGTATTTATTATGTTAGGTAGGTAGTACAATTATTAAATTAGGAAATGATAAACTTGTTTTGGGATAGACGAAAATGAAAAATGACAAACTTTTAATTGGACGGGGAGAGTATATAATAATTGTAATTATAAATATATAAAGTCTGTTTCTTTAGCCCTGGTTTAGGGTGATTTTGCACAGTAAATCACTCTAACTCAGGGTTGTTCCGTTATGGTTGACAATTTTTTGACTTTTTTTTTTCTTCTTTTTAAATTTAAAATATAAAATTTTTGCATAGTAAGACCTTAAATAATTACTTCCTTTGTTCCTTTTGAAAGGATTTTTTTGAGATTTTTTAGTAAATTAAAAGGTAATATTAAATATTTTATTGATAAGTGAAAATATGTAAGAGATTTTAATATTTTTAATTTTTTGAAAAAACATGAGTACTTTTGATTGACACAAACAAAAATAGTAAAAATAATATTTTGATTTACGCAAAAAAAAATATTTATTTGATATTTATAATAAAAGAAAAAAAAATTAATTTTTGTTTCAATATAACTAAGATTTATCAATTTTTATCACAATATTAAAACTCATCAATTTTAGTCTTATTATAAACAATTTCAATCAATTTTAGTCTCACCGTTAAAAATTACCGGAAATTGTTGATGTGGACGTTACGGGTTAATGTGAAAACTACACGACCATGTACACTTATACACGGCTATGTTGTCACATAACCATGTTTAATTCTAGGCCGTGTACCTTTCTATTTTGATATAAAATTGAATTTAGAATAGTTATAGAGTTAAATTGAAAAAAAAATAATAGTAATCATAATATAATTAAAATGTATCAAAATTTTAGTTCAAATATAAAAATTTACCGGATGTTCTTTTGGAAGATTTTGCCTAAAATTCTACTATTCATGAAAAAAATTTCCTCTTGCAAACATCCAATTACACAATTTTTTTATATTATATTAAAATTTTATTTTATATTTCAATACAATTTCAAAAAAATTTCAATATAGACATATATAATTGCATTAAAATATAAAATTAGTTTTTAATATAATATAAAAAAATAATAGTTATGTAATTGAATATTTTTCAAAGGAAATATTTTGGTAAATAGTTAAATTTTAGGCAGAATCTTTCATAAAAATATACTTAATAAATTTTTATATTTAAACTAAAATTATTAGTACATTTTAATTACATTGGGACTATTATTATTATTATTATTATTATTATTATTTTTATTTTAACTATATCAACTATTTTAATTTTCTTTTAAAAAAATAATAACAAAAAAGAAGAAGATCAAAACAGAAAGGTATACGGCACGGCCGAGTGGAATTAAACATGGCCGTGTGACGACATGGTCGTGTATAATTGTACTGTGAATTATACACGGGCTTGTGACAACATGGTCCTATATAATTGTATATGGCCGTGTAGTTTTCAAATCAGATGCCACATCAACCTCGTAACGTCCACGTCAGCAATTTCTGTTATTTTTTTAACGGTGGAACCAAAATTGATTAAAATTGTTTATAATAAGACCAAAATTAATTTTTTCTTTATAATAATTATAGTTTAATAAAACATATACAAAATGATCTATAATACAAATAAATAATATTTTAAAAATATATTTGTAGATATAATATAAATTTATAATCAAATCATATCATTATTAATTTTAAAAATTTAAAATTAATACATATTTATATTATTATATTTATTGCTCATCGAATCAATACATATCAAAACTTTCAAACTTACGTACCAAAAGAAATAACTCGATGCCTTCAGGTCCACCTACCACATATGATTCGCCTAATCTAACTTGCTTGTCAGACCTAGTTCGTATGATATTAAGTTCGACCAGAGGTTTATCCAGTGCGCACTTTCGTATAGCGACTGCGAATTCCATGTCATAATAAAAAAATAACACAAAAATTTTTAAATTATTTTAGAATTCAAATAAAATCCAAATTCAAACTCAATTTTCCAGAACTACTTAAAAAATAAAAACACCTATATATATATATTTAATAAAATATACACACCTTATTTAACACTTTTACCCCAATCGACACATTACAAATCTACAGCTGCCGTCTCCACTTGAGTTTGTTTGGTTAGCATTCAGTCAAAATTGACATTATATTCTTATTATTATTTTATAAAAAATTATATTATTATTTAAAATTCATTCAAATTTTTTTTAATATATAAATATATTCAAAAATTTTCATTATCTTATAAATTATTTTATGTTAATTAAATAAAAATATAAGTAATCTCTCAATTATGCATTTATTTTTATCAATAATATTAATGATCAATAAAAATTCACCATCGGTATCATTCATAGTTTCAATATGATAACCATTTTTTCGAATGTCATGAAACCTCAGTAAATTTCTTCGAGCTTTAGTGGTCAACAGTGCATACTGTATCACAATTTTCGTCTCCACGGAGAGAAATATAATAGCTTCTCCAAAGCCTTCAATTAATTTTGTACTGCCACTTATTATATTGATATTCATCTTTTCCTTTATCAAATAGGAGAAATATTTTTCGTGTTTCAATATACTATATATAGTTGCACTGTCAATGAAACACATATTTGCATCATTTTAATTGACATCTATTTAACCTTCAAATATAAATAAACACAGTATTAATAAAAGCAAATATAAATATTACAAAATGCATTACAAAAAGATAGTGTAGATAATTTAAATATTACAAAATTTAAATTAGCATAATATAAAATGACATGATATGTTTATCACTAGGGGTG